ATTATAGATAAGCACATACACACATATGTGTCGGACTGTCGGGGTAATCTGTCTGGCACTCTGGCCGTAGAGCTAGACACGATGCGTGACATTCAAGGGTCGTCTGATGAATACAAACCTATGTACTCAGAGATCTGCCAAGAACCGTGCCTTACTCTTTGTCCGGGCAGAGTGGCAGATGAACCGTTTCCTATACATACACTACATATATACAACCAAGAAAAGCTGTTGAAGACAAAGGCCCTAAATCCACCCATGTATGAAGCGTTGTAAGGATCAGAGAAGCAGAAACACATACCATTTGATTAGCCGATGAATCCAGCAGTATCGAAATCAATGCATCTAAGCATGCACCTTGCTCAAGTACCCCTCGATTTGATAACATGTTCATTAAGACCTGGTTAATAAGTAAAGCATAGCATCACAATACTTTGAAGTCCAAGTAGAGAAGCCAATGCTGTACATTCTTACACACCGGAATGGCCTTGTATTGATGAGCTAAAATAGTGCTCTCCCGATGAAGCAGACAACACCCTTCCAGCACTCTAAGTGCAACGGAAGCTTCGGCATCAGTAGATGGACTGATTATTTTCATAGGTTCAACAGTGAATATATGGTCAAGACTTGCCACATCCTGATCCTCATGTTCTCTCAGTGAATGTTTAAACAGAACTGGAACCACTGCCAAATTTGACATAATGTCAATAGTCAATCCAAATCCCAAAAATCAATCGTCTTTGAATGTTTGGGATTTAAATGAATCAGTCAATCTGCTGACTCTAAAGATAGTGTGGCAGGTTGGATTTGTCAACTAAGAGCAATATCAATGGCCAATTATGCTTCCCAACAGGAATGCAATTAAACCTAAACTCCATTACCTAATGGCCAACACCTACCTTACCCGAATCTCCCTGATAATAATAATAATAAAAAGAATACAAAAGAAGAATTGAAAACAATGATGGAGAGAACCTTGAAGCTCAGGGATGGATTGGCTGTGGATGAAGAGGTTGATGGTGGCGTCGCATTCGGCCACAGAGCGAAGGAATTTGAGGATGCTGCGAAGGCCGCGGACTCGGAGAAACGAGAACTCAGCGCGCGCATCAGAAAGTCCGGTCCTGAGTGCGAGTGTGATCTCCCTGTACAGCCTCTGCCTGTCCAACGAGTTCACCAGGTCTGCCACCGGCGACTGCGAGTCATTATGACTTCCGAGGCCCGTCCCGTCCCTCCAAAACGGTGTCTTCAGATACATCAATCCTTTTCTTGATATCAATGGTTGTGCGAGGCGGAGGTTGGCCTTTGTTGCCTCAGAATTGATTTTTAAAAATCACTATCCAGAAATCTGGAGAAGTGATTTACATTGGAAAATGGCAGGGATACACCTTTGGGTGTACTCTAAATGTACCTCACCCCTTCCTCGTCCATAAAAATAGACAAAAACAATTTAAAAAAAAATAAGTAAATAAAAATGAGTGGTTACGCAGGGGTGGGGACATTTGGAGTACATCTTTGGTGTACCCCTAGTATTTCCCTTACAGATTTGGTCACAATTGTGAGTCTTTTAGATTTTTGGTTAAAAGCATCAACAATGGTAAGACAAAAATGTAATGTCACACGGCAACATAAAATATTTTAATCAATCAAAAATAGTTCAATCAGCGTGTGACAAGTGAATGAAGTGACAAACTCTACAGTGACAAGTCATTATTTTTATCACTTTTTACATTTTTTTATGTTTTTGAACATTAAAAAAATATTTTTATTATTTATTTTATCAAAAACTTATTCTACTTTCTTATACATTTTTTTCATAAAAGAATTTTAAAAAAAACAAAAAAAAGAAAGAAAAGAAAGGTGAAGTGACACACCCATGCCTCACCAAGCAAGGCATTTGGCTTTGACATGCTATGATAGGGGAGGAACTAGGGAGGAGCTGATGTGACAGTGCAAGATATTCCTCTTCCTTGTCACTCCACATGCTCTAAGAAGCAATGAGGATGGCTACCCCCACAAACGCCATGAATGGAGAATTTCATGATATAATTGGTAAAGGGCGAAACAATTTTCTTGGATCAGAGTAGGATTAAGCTATGTGTACGCTAAAATTTGTACCTCAAATTGTACCCCGCAGGTTTGCACCTTCATTTTTTGTCAGTATAATGCTAGGGTGATAGTTCACACAGACACAAAATGTTAGTACAAATTTTTATTAACGCATTAACATTTTGCATCAGTGTGAACAATAAAAATGTTAGTGTATACTGTTGGTGTAACTTTAGAGTAAAATTTTTGATATAAGGGTAGCATGGTCCTTTGATTATTCACTGGCATTACCTTGATGCAACTCTGTTGCTCATTTAACTCTACGTAGTCCATTTGATCAAGAGGTATCCACATTTCAAATAAGCGCATCAAGCCATCAATAGATCTCGACATAAAATGAGACCTTCTAATACTTAAAACAAAAACATGAAATATATAAAACGTAATTACAAATAAACTATTTTATAAGAAATACTGCACAAATGAATTGAGATGTAACAAAATAAATAAATAAATTACCGGAGTATTAAAATTTAGTAATAATAATAATAACAAGAAAAAATATACTCCGTATTATATTTAGTTATTGTTTGGAGGATAGAAAAGTTTGAAGAAATTGAAAGGAAAAAGTGGAAAGAACTAGAACCATATAAGGAACTGAAAAAACTAGATGAAATTTAAAAACAATTATAAAAATTTATAAGAATAAAAAGATTAGAAGTTAAGAGTATAAACCCAAAAGAATATGCTTTTACAATTTGCTTGGATAAGTGTGGAAAATGGAAAGAAAGAAAATGAGAGGGAAAAAATGAAGAGAAGAGAATATATAAAAATAAAATGAAAAGAAAATAATTGGTGTTTGGGTGGGTAAAAAATGAAGAGAAAATGAAAAGAAAAAGTATAAAAAAAAATGGATGAAGCTCCCTTAGTGCTGTTTGTAAGTTTTGAGTCGCCGTTAAACTACTAACGGCTGATTAACAAAGACTTGTTTTGCACAATAAAATGAAAGTTGAGATTAATTCTGTTAAATTTTTATTTTGAATTTTCTTTCTTTTTTTGGAATTACCTCTTAGATTTTTTTAAAACGAGTTTCTTCCTACATCATTTCTTTTTCTTCTTCTAAAAGATTAGTCTTACAACAGATTAAAATAAAAAAAATAGATATAAAAAATAACAAAAATGAAAAAAGCAGTTAAAACCAAAAAAAATTAATGAATAAAAAGATAATCAATAAAAACTAACTCAAACTGATATAAAACAAAACTACAATATATGAAGTATTAATGTATTGCTTTCTTTTAATTTATTGGTAAAAAATGAAAATAAAAATAAAAAACATGAAGCAAAAAAATTTGTTTTATAATTAAAACCCTAAAAATGGGAAAAAAATAAAAAAAATTCATTTTCTTACTTCAACATAATTTCATTTTAGTTACTCGGTATTTCTTAATAAGAAAAATAAATTTTTTATTTCTTTTGTGTTTTAATAAGAAAATAATTTTTTATTTCTTATCGTATTTTTATTTTCATATTTGACCAACAAGAAGAAGTAATACATTATTACTTTGCATAGCACGTAAAATGTTAGAACCTACCACTTTGTATACTTTGAATTTTTAGTTCGCGTTTTAGCTTAATATTTATCGATTACCTTATTTATTTGCATTAATTTTGTATGATTTTAGTTTTTATCTCATTTTCCTTAGTTTTTATATCTATTTTTTTATTTTTCCGATAAAAGATTAATCTTTAAAGGAAAATTTCAAAAAATAAAAAAAATATAAAATGAGAATTTAGAAAAAATAATCGTAACTTTCATTTTGTTGTGCAAAAATGTTATTTTTGTTAACCAGCTGTTAACAACTGAACGACAATCAAAAACTCACAAAATTTAGTAAATTTGAGATTATTTTTGACTTACTGAATAAAGTTGGAATTATTATATTCGGGTAGATAGTTTTTTTAAGAAACAAGTGAAAGGTTAATTTGAGAAAAAAAGGATCAGTCCAATCCCCGAGGCCCCATTAGATTTGGTCGTACGGTCACTGAAGGGAGATAAATTGGACAGCATACGGTCTTTTATTTACTTCCAGTACAGTTACGAGAAATCAAACTCGGAACTAATTCCCCTGACATCCCTTGCATTGTCAAATGCGCAACGCGTACCAGAAAAGATTAATTTGAGAGATACTCCCTCCGTCCACCAGTTTTTGTCTACTTTCATTTTTACACACCATCCAATGCACTTCTTTAATCCATTTTATCTTGTAATTTGGACATTAAAAAATTATAGAAATTATATACTCCCTCCGTTCCACAAAACCCTTCCAATTTTGACTTTGGGGAAAAATAAGGAACATGTAATTTTGATTGACTTTCCAATTTTGCTCCTGATGTGATGGGAAAAAGTAAGATGTGATAGTTTGGTTATTAGTGAAAAAGTATGATGTGATAGGTAGGGTATGAAAAAGTAGGGGTAAATGTGATTTTTTAATAGAAAGTGGAAGTGTTTTGTGGAAAGCAAAAAAACGAAAGAGGAAGGGTTTTGTGGAACGGAGGGAGTATTAAGAATCTACTCTGTATATGTTAAGACAAATCAAACAAGATCAGACATGACAATATTTGGGCTTACACATCGAGAGAATTTGATAAGTCAAAGTGGTTAGATGAACAGTTTCAAACATTAAAAGTGGATAAAAATTGAGGGACGGAGGGAGTAAGAAATAAGGAGTACTCCTATATCCCATGGAGAATTGTTTTTACAGCTGGGTCTCTTGTAGAGTTGTGGACTGTAGCCTACGTACGCTCTTTTTTTTTAATACCCATTTTAGATAAATTTTTCAAAAAAACAAATGAGAGACTAATTTGAGAGATACGAGGACGGAGTAGGAAATACGAGTACTCCTTCCTTCCTTATATCCCGTGGACATTCGTTTTTACTTTTTACAGATGGGTCCCAAAACAAGGTCTTGTACTGTACAGCCTACGCACTTTTACCCATTTATAGTCCATCTTTGCCTTTATACCCGGGGGGTAAAAGAAAAGAATTTGGAGAAACCATCAGTCCATCACTCTGACCGCAAGGCAAAGCTCCTCCTCCTCCTCCTCTTCAGTCCCAATTCACCCGAAATGTTCAAGACAAAGCTGCAAGAGTTGTGCCAGCGTCTGGCATTGCCGCTGCCGGAGTACACCGCCACCATGGAAGGCCCGCCTCACGAGGCCAAATTCAACGCCACCGTGACCGTGAATGGCTTGCCGTTTCACGCCACGCCCAGCAAGTGCCGCACAAGCAAGGAGGCGCAGAACCTTGCTGCTAGCTTTGCATACGAGTACTTTTCCGCCAATCCGCCGGAAGTCGCCCTCACTCCCCCCCGGTCTTCGCCCTCAGATCCCGCTCCGGCTCGACTTCCCGATCACATCGCCTTTGATCAAGGCCAAAGTAAGTGCTTTTTTTTTTGTTGTTGTTATAATTTGCTTTCCTCTCTCTGTGCCCTTTTGACTTTTGTATTTTTTTGATTGAAAATTAACCTAAATTTAATGAAGCTTCGGATTCATCCCATTTTATTTACTCAAAATCGGGATAATAGGATGGGAATTTCATAGTTACACTAGATTAATTTTTAATTTAACCTCGGTTCTTCTCCTTCAAAGCAGAGCATTAGGGTTGGGGTTGTATTCTGATTCATTTTTTTTAAAAAAATATTTTCATCATTTACTTTCTACCTACTCCATCCGTTCAAAAAATGTGCTCTGTAGTTTACACCTTTGGTGAAAAGTCAAAGTGTGTTGTTGAAATTTATTAAGAACATAGTGTAAACTTGTTCTGAGATATACACAAAAAAGAAGTGTAAATTTGGTGTATTATTATGTCAATATTTTATTTCCATTACAGCTCTGCCTGCTGACCCCCTACCTGTTTGTTCACCTCAGCCTCCTCATCATTCATCTCACCCACAAATCTCTACAGGTCACTTCCTTTTTTACTTTCATTATACCAGCTTCTAATAGACAGACCAAAGTCTAGTATTCATGTTCTATTTTATTCATCATTAAAGATGAGAATTCATTTATACATTAAGGCAAACAATTTATTCTGTTTTCAGATCCTCTTTCTGGCACTCAAACTGTCCAATCACATCTGCCTCAGGAAACAATCACAAATGATCCTCCATATTTGACCCAAAATGGTTACAATTCTAAATCTTCCAAGCATCCTATATCAGATCATTTTGCAATGCTTATTATTTTCCCTCTAATATTGCAAAAATATGCTTACCTCCCTCCAAGACATATATTTGTGTGTGTTGATTTCCTTCCAAAATATAATGTATGTTACTCCAATATAAAAAATCTAACCTGTATCTGCAAAAAAGCAACTGAAGTGCCTGCCTTATGGAACATATGCTGCCCAGCACTTCCTGGAGCACTATTGCTATAGCCTTTGCGCGCCTTGCGCCCGAGGCACACTTTTTTAAGAATAAAGTAATAACAATAAATTATGATATACAATATTTTCTGTTTCAGATTTGCTCGATGGCCCCCAACCCGATTCACCAGCCCCTCAGCAAGCACTGATTCATAATCATTCATCAGCAACTGCAGAGGAGATCTTTACTGGTTACTTATTCCTTTCACTTCTATTTAAGGCGCAGAAAAGACTAGTTTTCAAGTATCTAGTACTGTTTATTTTGTCTACAGTCAGAATAACTTAAATTGTGATCAACAATTTTTATTCTATTTTAGCTCCGGTTGATACCCCCCAACCTCATACTCCCCTGCTTCAGCAAACACAGAATCAGAGTCATTCATCTCCACAGGGAATCTCTACAGGTTATTTTTTTTTTAAACTTTACTTTTATTTGATTCATAGTCGATGAATAATTTTACTTGTATTATTTTTATTTTTCCTTTATGAGAGGTTAATCAATTATCCACCAAAGAGTATGCAGGTGGTAGAGTTTTGTACAAGTCAAAATTGCAAGAGTTATGCCGTATGCGGGCATGGAAACCGCCTGAGTACACGACCGTGAAAGAAGGACCTGATCACAGGCCTCAATTTACTTCAACAGTCATTGTCAACGGAGTTCCCTTCAAAACTCCACACAACCAAAGTCGTTCTTCCAAAGAAGCAACCAGCCTTGCTGCTTGTGTTGCCCTAGAGCACTTAACTGGCGTCAAGCCAGTCTCCCAGGAAGGCCTTTTCCCATCAAGTGCAGGTTATTTTTATTCATTAATTTCACTTTTTTGACAAAACATCCCAAGTAATGGAGGTCAATGGATTGAAGGGATATGGAAATGGTTAAGAAAGATGTGAATATGTAATAATGTATTAGAATATGTGTTTTTTTGGTGTCAAAGAAGGGCTCAAGAAGGCCAAGGATATGGCCCGATATCAGTTTATGAAAATGTAAATTTGAATCCTAGACTGGGACAATAATTTTAAACCTCAATTAATTTATGAAATTCATTCTATTGATTAAAAAACTTTCATGAGACAAAAAACATGTATATTTGGGAAATCATATTTAAGCCATTGACACAATTAATTATTTGAACATTTAATTATCTTCTAATCTTTACGCCGCATTCAATTATAGAATAATCATAGTTTTAAGTGTCAGAGTTTGAATCATAGTTATCAAGGCATCACCTAGTCGTTGCCTCAGCGGTCCTGGCGGTATAGAGCTCACGCTATGGAACCTCCCCTCCCCATATTTTGCCTAGTTACGTTTCGCATCGCCTTAGGGATGCCTGAGTGTCTAGTAGGTTGCCAAAAGATGCCTAACGACTGAGAAGGAAGGCTGGTGTATGATTCAAAAACCCTAACCTATGGCCGCCAAATTTCAAATCCGAAAATCCCAGCGTAGCGTCACCATTGCGACATATATCTGTTGTTGCTGCTTCCAAAGTAGATCTTTCGCCGCCATTATCGTCATTGCCGTATGCGTTTGTCGTTGACAGATCCATCGTTTTGATACTTCGACTCCATTCCTTTCTTTGTTTTCTTTTAACTATCTGATATATCTTTTTTGTTTTACTTTTATGGGCTGGGATGGTCCAACGAATGGGTGATAGTTCTTGATTGGATGTCAATTTTACTGCAAACAATAAGCTCCATATACACACAAAATGGTCTTTGTGTTGTAATGTGGAAAATTGGGAGGGGTGTAAGACGGCTAAGGAGACAAGTGGGAGTAAGTGAGGCAAGAATGAGAGTTTATGAAGGGTTTTACTAGTCATTGGGCACGAAAGAAGGGGAAAGATGTATTTACAAGATTGCAAAGGGCTGAGAAAGAAAGATGCGTGATCTAGACCAAGTTAAAGGCATTAATGATAAGAATTGTGAGGTTTTGGTCTCTGATGACGGCATTGACGAATGGTGGAAAAGCTACTTCAATGAGTTATTTAATGAGGGTCATGTGAATCTGTCATGCTCTGATCGGCTACACACAAGGAAGGAGGACCAAAATTTCAATTATTATAGAAGGATTCGAGAGTTTGAAGTTAAGGAGGTGCTAAAACAGATGAAGAATGGCAGAGCAGTGGGCTTAGGCAACATCTCAATTCAGGTTTGGAAAGGTTTTCAAAGGAAAAGGTATTTGGTGCTAACTAAGCTTTTAATGATATTTTAAGATTCAAGAAGATGCCTAATGAATGGAGGTAGAGCTTTTTTGGTTTCTATTTACAAAATTACAAGAATAAGGGAGATATTCAAAGATATGGAAACCGCAAAGGGATCAAGCACATGAGTCATACGACAAAGCTGTGGGAAAGGGTGGTAGAACAGAGATTGAGACAAGAGACTCAGGTGTAGAGAACCAATTTGGTTTTATGTCGGGAAGGTCAACTACAAAGGCTATATACTTGGCGAGGGAATGGAGAGGTACTGAAGTGAGAAGAAAGATTTAAACATGATTTTTATTGTTTTGGAAAAGGCTTAAGTGGGGTGTAGAAGAATTTGTGTGAAGGATTTTTTTGGATTTTATTATATGGATAAATGACTCGTCACACTCCGGGAAACATGTTAAGAGATGTTCTCTCCACAACAACACTCAATAAGAGAATTAAATCTCCCCACTAGGCCTTGATAAGAGATTAATGATGCCACAAGTATCAACCTTGATAAGTCTAAAAAGAGATGATGCCACAAGTATCCAGATGTATATGGTAATTGGTACATCCCACCACATTAAGTAAATATCTAATTATATTAATAAAAGCTGGGATCATCCAATCTTAAAAAATTAGCTCCCTTTAAATATACTCCTTTCGTCCCTAGTGTATTCATCCAGTTTGATTTTTTCGAGTCAAATTGGACAAACTTTAATTATCAATTACTCTTAATGTGTGTTGCATATCAATACAACAAATTAAAATTTTAATAGTTCTCAACAAGATGAATCTATTGAAATAATTTTTATACTAAAATACATTACGATTTTTATTTAATTGAGATCCAAAGTTCGTCCGGTTTGACTCGAAAAAGTCAAACTGGAGGAATACATTGGGATGGAGGGAGTACTATCATTCCATAAGTGCATGTTTCATTGAAGGAAAGTCTTAACAAAAATAATTGGAAAAGGAAAGTCTTCATTTGCTCCATACATGGAATATTTTGTGGATTCCATTCACATCACATTTCCTTCTTCCTGGTTAATTATGAAATATTATGAAATATTTCCTTCTTCCATTCACCTATTGTCGAAGGTGTTAGAGAAAAAAAGGAGTAAGGATTGTTTATATTCGTGTGAATTAAGGACATGTACGATGGTGCTATCACGATTGTGAGAAGCCAAAGTGGGGTTATTGGGGATTTTTCCATTAGTATAGGATTACACTAAGGGTCATCGCTAAGTCCATATCTTCTTACAGTAGTTTTGGAGTTGTATGGCTTCGGTATTAGTCACTATAAAACAGAGTATATGGAGTGTAAGTTTAGAAACGAAAGAGGAAATATTAATATTGAGGTGAAAGTTGGAGAAGATACTAAACCACAAGTGAAGAGATTATGTACCTTGGGTGTATCATTGAGGACAATGGAGAAATAGAGGATGATGTAAACCACAAGATTTAAGCATTGTTGACATGGGAGAGTTCGTTGGACTTTATATGCGACAAAAAAGTACCTTTAAAACTCAAGGGAAAGTATTTTTGTAATGCGATTAGACCAGCCATATAACCATATTGTATGGAACAAAGTGTTGGGCAGCAAAAGATGAACATGAACACAAAGTTAGCGTGGCCGAAATGAAGATGATCCGGTGGATGAGCGGTCATACGTGCATGGATAGAATAAGGAATGAAGATTTGAGAGCAAAACTTGAAATGACACCTATTGTTGAAAAGATAGTGGAAGCATGTCTTAGGTGGTTGGATATGCGGAGAGAAGACCTATAGAAACATCTAGTGAGAAGGGTGGATCAAATGGAAAACAAACACGTGGCTAGAAGAAAAGGTAGACTTAAGAAAACTTGGCGCCACCTAGTGGGATAAAGCTTTGTTGTTGTATATACATGGAGTATATCAAAGAATTAAAACTACAGATTATCTGAGTTCTGGTTTATTTTAGAGTAGTAAGCCTACCTTTTGAAGCACTATGTGTTTGAAAAGTACTTCTCTAAATATCCAATTTTTGACATATGTTTTAAAGTTGATTTTAATTTGTTTTTAAGTTTGTTACAAAGCACGTATTTTGTTTGGTATGAAATTTAAACTTAACTTTAAGTTTATGAATTTCAAAATATTAGTATGTATTCCATAATATTAATATATTTATATTAATGTTGTTAATGTACAAGAATTCTCATTTATTACAATGTCGCTTAATTGTCTCCTAGGCGGTCGCCTAGGCAATTAGGTGTCCGGGCAGTACACACTGGCACTGTGCATCCCCTTGGTGCCGTGAATGTTATCCAAGCTGAATTGAGTTTATTTTTATGGAGTAGAGGTTTGTAATTCTGACTGGTGTCGTATGTTTGCAAATTGCAAGTAGTTTGACACTTTTAAACTGAACGCTCTAGACCTGACAATTTGTTGATATTTTCAATCTGGGAGTATCTAAAAAACATAATGGTATTGATTTTGCATTATAATTCAATGTATTTTCACATAAGCTTTGGTCAAATTTTATCAGTTTTGACCTCAAAAGTCAAAGTAGGAACAAAATTATGGGACAAAGGGAGAATATAATATGCAGCATGCTGTTTTGGTTATTTGTTTCCTGGAACTGTGATCTTTTGTGTATATAGTTTGCATGAGCACCGTCATTGACCATATTGGCTATTGATATTCCTAAAACATCTTTGTCTACATGTGCATATCTTTTTATGAGAAGCGAAGAAAATGACTTTTTCTGAACCTCCAGTTACCTGGGCATGACCCTATGGCCTCCCGCCTTGTGGCCAACTCTTGAACAATAATTTTCCTTATAATTATAGTCTGCATAAGTGTAATAGTGGTCATTAATCTTCTGGAGTTGTGACATGTACGTCTACGTAATCTGCAATTCTTCACGCAAGCGGGTGGTTATTAGTCCTAAATCATCTTGGTGCACAAGTTTGGCTATAGTACCTTCTTCATAAATATTTGCTGCAATAAACCAGTGGTTTTTTAAAGTTTGTACAGCATTTTCCAATTTGTCTATAGTTTGATTGGATTTCAGCAGATAATACTGATGTCAAGGTGCAAAATAATGAAAGAAATGCACAAACACCTGATTTCAGTTCAACACCATTGGCGGGTAGAGAGACATATAAATCTTCAGGTTTGCTTTCTTATTTGGGCATTGTGATTAATATTCTAAGTAACGAGCTATGAATTGAAATATTACCAGTATGCACATGTTCTGCTTTCATGCTGATTACATATTGGCTTACTTTTGCAAAGTTGTATTTGTGCAGCCTAGTTTGCTTACAGGTGCATCAAGCCGTTCTTGTTTTGTAACTTTTGCTAGGCAACACTTAGCGTTTATGCTTTGTGAAAGTAGGGATAGGAGGATTCCTTGTCAAACAGTTAAATACGGAGTAATAGATAAATTAGTTCATAGGCCATACTTCAAACAAATTGTTAGCGTAAGGTATAATTATCATATCCAATAGAGCTAAAATAACACAAATGAGTGTAAGATCTTAACATACCTCCCCCTTTCTTAAAAACTTTACCCAATTTGACTTTCACGGAGTTAAATAAAATTGTTGAAAAGCAAAAAGTTTATGGAGAGAAATCTTTTAAGCCACACGCTCTTTACTAAAAAAGGAAATAAAGTATGTGGGAAGTGTTATTTGGATCATCTATAAAGAGAAAGTGGGTAAAAAAATTTGGGACCGAGGAAGTAAAAAATAAAGCAGCCCATTATTAGACAAAAATTGAAAAAACAGTAATAAGTTATAACAAAATACTAATATTTTATTTGGTTTGTTTGTGCTTCTTTAGATGTACTACATATCTACAAGAATCGGCTTCAACAATATGCTCAGAAGCAGGGGATGACTCTTCCTTATTATTCTACTGAAACCGAAGGACCACCACATGAGCGCCTCTTTAGATCAAAAGTTGCTATTGCTGGAAACATCTATGAAAGTCCACAATATTTCCGTACATTGAAAGAAGCTGAACAAGCAGCTGCGAAAGTTGCTCTTGAGGCATTATCACCCGTTGAAATTCAAAAGGCTAGTCTCTAGAATCTATTTACGCTAATATTTACTATCAGATTCTGTTATCTGATTTACCTATTCATTTCACATTTTCTTAAATAAAATAAATAAACTATACTTGGTGCCATTCTGAATGGATCTCAGGGTGGAGGTCTATACAAGACCCTTTTACAGCAACTTGCACAAAAACTGGGGCACCTTTTCCCAGTGTATAAAACAATCCAGTGTGGTCCACCTCATGCTGCTTCTTTCATAAGCACTGTGCAAGTTGGTGAAGAAACATTCCAGGGGCATGAAGCTAAGAGCAAAAAGCAAGCTGAGATGAATGCTGCTGAGGTTGCTTATGATACTTTGGTAAACTGTAAGATTAAGTCCCCTTCTAATTTATGTATTGCTTGTTGTTTTTTTCTTTTGTTCAGATGCTAGTTGCCTTTTGATTTATAGACCGATGCTCTTTTATCAAACACAACACATTTGAGGAAAAAGAAAAGAAAAGAAAAAAAACCAGATGTACCATCGTTTTATGTTCTGTCGGTACCAGGAAATGCACTCACGTTAGTCTGTCATGCACACATGTACTGCATCAGTTGCTCAGAGCACTCATATTGTTCCTTTCTGTCCACAGGTTCGAATATCTGCACGAAGAGGCAGAAAACATCAACTTCCCCCGGGACCCATATCTCGTGTCAGCCCACCCCTCATGGTGTCTCTTTATGCCAATAGGTACACATTTGTATCAGTTCAAAGACATAAAAAACACCAGCGGCTTCTATTACTCATCCGTCTCTCCCTAAAAAAATATTTTGTTTCGTCACCGTTTGAGCATCATGGTATTTTTACATAAGTCTGAGTTCAATGTCGATGAACCCGCTAAGATAGTTTGCATCATTATGTTCAGTCTTTATCTCTTTTGACTTTGGTATTAACTAGTTGCATTGAAAAGTGTAATGTTTAATAGATAAGCGGCAGTGAGAAGCATGACCTTGGTCTATCAGTGTATCAAGGAGCAGTATTTCCTGGTCAAGCTTCCATTTTATCTTGCAGCAAAGGATGGTGGTTGAAGTAAAGTCGAATGCTAATTAAGGGCGCGTGTGTTACATCTATGGTGTCTTAACTATGCTACAATCACCCATCCTCTTAAATTGGATATTTAATGTTTTGTTGAATTCTTGCTAGTGTTGATGTGGATGCTTTTTGTTTGGATACTTATTGATTAGTGTTAATGCCCTTGAATATTATTAACTGATAAATTTTCAGCTTTGGGATATTGCTCCAAGTTGGTCCTAATATTCCCACCCAATTTTCACGCTATTCTCTAGCATTCGGCATTAGTGAGCATTTTCCCGTGGTTATAAGCTGGTCAAAAATGCTTATAAGTTGTTTCAACTTATAAGTAAGTTGATAACATGTTTCTCTATGCTTATAAGTTGATTTATAAGTGACTTATAAGCTAAAAAAAGTAAGTAGGTCTTACATACTTTGTATTTTAAAGTAGATTTTTTCAAAATTCTATTTGACCAGATTATTTAAAATGACTTATCTATCATTTAAGTCATTTTATTTTCACAAAAGAATACTCCTTCTGTACAACAAAAATATTCCCGTTGCGCTTAATAATATTTGACTGAAGTTATTTTCAAGTCATTTTATGTAAAAATATGGTATGGAATTAAAATTACATATTTAAAAATTACACGGAAATATCTACACCTCCGTCTAAATTTAAATCGTCTGTTTTAGTTTACGATGTTTGACTGAAATTATTTTCAAATAATTTTGTATGAAAAATGATGTAAAATTAAAAAATTGTAAAAATTATATATTTAAAAACTACATTTGGTTAGGGTGAGGAACAAATTCAATGATATGCCACACCCTAAACCCTATGAGATTGGGGAAGGGTATAACTTGGTACAAGGTAATAGGGATAAACCTGTTTGGAGGCATTGGGTCTGGAATAAATATACCCCTCCCAAATTCAGATTCATCATTTGGTTATTCTAGAGAAGAAAACTGCAAACTAAAGTGAGACTTGCTAAATTCTTGAGCATAAAGGCCAATTGTGAGTTGTGTGGAAGAGAAAGTGAGACACAGGATCATCTATTTTGGGGGTGTGATAAGGCGAAATCAATTGGGCAGGCCATCATGAAGGAATTCAGTTGCTCTTTGGACTGCAATTCTGAAGGGGAGTTTGCAGTGGAAATGCTGAAGGTGAAGCAAGGGAAACAGAGGAATTGAATATGGTTATAGCAATTTGGGCAACCTCTGTATACTTCACTTGGAAATGGAGGAATGATCTGTGGCATCAGAAGATCCGAAGCTTAGAAGAGATCCAGGATCAAGCTATTCATTACATTAGGAGTTACTTTAATTATATGAGAATGGATGGATGTATTTGAATTTTTGAAGTGGTAATGAAATCATGTGATTTATGTGCAAAAAAAAACTACATCAAAAGATTTATAATACTAGAAATGACATGACTATATTATTTTATCAAATAACTAACGAAAATAAGAAAAAGAAAGTTAATGAAGTTTGACAATGTGAATAATAAAAAAACAATTTATTTTGGGAAGGAGAAAGTACAAAACTAGATGCGACATGACTATACTATTTTATCAAATGAGCAGCGAAATATAGTACGCAGTTGTTAAGTGGTGTTGTGTCTTTAATTCCGTTAAATATTTTTTTGTGAAGTTAAAAGAGTAAGTAAAATTCACACGCTCTCATTTGACCATCTTATACTTCCTCCGTCCCATAAATATAATCTCATTTTGACTTTAAGAAAATTTAAGAGAGAAATATTTTTGTATTGAGTTTTCGGGACGGAAGGAGTATATATGATTATAAGTGAAATTGTAGACATGTGAGATTTTGTTACATTCCTCCTCTCGGTTAAATCTTTTATAGTATCAACTTATATTATTCTAAGCTTGGATTTACCTTATCGCACAAGAACAAGGTTAATACTATGATTTTTGCCTGCACAAAGCATCAAATATTCAAATGTATTTTCTATAATGGCAAAGTTCCTTAATCAAATGGCTGTTCAAAAGTACCCGGGATTTGTTTGGCAAGGGGGAAAATGACTTCCATTTTCTTTATTTTCTAATGTCTGGAAAATGACAATATTAAATCTTTAATTCGTATTGGATTTGGATGTACAATGAATTCAGTGTGAGTCTTAGGGGCTGTTTGACAACTTTTGAATAGGTAAGTGCTGAACCAGTAAGAGGTCTGAACCATTAAGTGCTGAACCAGTAAGAGGTCTGAACCATTAAGAGCTAGTATATTGCTTAACTATCCAGAGGCAAATGTCTAATCAATTCAGATAAGAGGTCTTAACCATTCAGACTCTGTATAATACTTAACCATTCAGAGGTAAATGTCTGAGCCATTCAGACATCTGAACCATTAAGAGGCTGAAACAAACAGTCTGAATCATTAAGTGCTAAACCATTCAGACATCTGAACCATTAAGAGGCTGAAACAAACAGCCCCTTAATATTAGCTTGTACAAACCTAATTTTTCATGCACAACTAGGAAATCACTGTATGAACTTCTCAAAACCTAGGGTTACTAAATTTTTTAAAATTTTAATACTCGTAATTATTTTAGAATTCACTTTAAATAGGACTAAAACATATAAAACGTATTTGGATTACTCTTTTCTATTATTAAATTTGTTTTTGATATGACCTGATCGCATTCATTTATTTTTGCTTGTATAATTTGTTTCCATATTTGCAAATTTTTAGATATTCTTTTTCCAAATGTTCATTTTCCAAAAATAATCCAAAAAAACATTTTTAGACATCCACCCAAACACAGGAAAAATAAAATAATTTTAGGGAAAATATTGATTTCTAGAAGTTATTTTTCAAAAAAATATTCTTTTCATTTCCAAATGAATCCTTGATTTCATTTTTGTTCACGTCACTATCATTAAAAAAATTAGAACTCCTAATTTGGTATTTTCATAATTTTTTATTACGGAGTATTTTTCAGGGAGTGATCTTTACTCTAAACTAAGTTTACATGACAAGTTTCTCTTTCTAGAGCTTTAGGGAAAAATAATACGCCCTATGTCCCAATTTGAATCATCTATTTTGGGCCACAATGTTTGACAGAATGTATTTTCATGATCATTTATTGAGAGATGGAGTAGAATTAAAAAAATAAAATTCATACATTTAAAAATTATATCTAAAGTCCTACGAAACAAGCGGTGATATCACTATATTTTTTTAATCAAATAACTAACAAAAATAAGTAAAAAAAATAAATACGTACAATTTCACCATTTGAATAGTAAACATATAAGTTAATTTAAAACGAATGGGATACTTTGTAACAAATGAGGTGGATTTAGAATTTAGCAATGCCCTAAAACATAATCCAAGAAATTAAATGATCGAATTAATTATAATATTGTAAATAATAAACATATAGCTTTATTTAGAACGGAGGGAATACTCCGTTTTTTTTAACAAATGAGGTCACAAACATTATTTGCAAAAATAGGGAAAGAGGAGGGTGTTTTGGTCATGAGTAAATTCCATAATTGGTCCTTTATAACAGTAGAGTTTCCCTATTTAGTCCTCTATTATCAAATATTACTCTAGTGGTCCTTCTTTTATGGGTATCTTTCCACATATAGTCCTTTTTTGATCTTCTATCATGTTGGTGTTAATTTGAGGGCTAAAAGTGTAATTTCACAATGATAATATATCTTTTTTGTCATACACAATTCCAAAAGCTATTCCGTTTGCGTCGTTTGTGAATTATAGTCGCTTTCTACTACAACCATAGTCTACAAATGTGGTCTTTTGTTGGAATCCTAGCCCACAATCATAGTCATTATTTTTGTGTTATCCGCTTAACCAATATCAGAACACGTCACTAGACATAATGTTGATGTCAAATTATACTTTTAGCCTTTAAATTAACACCAACATGACATAAGATCAAAAAAAGGACCATTTGTGGAAAGACGCTCTTAAAAAAAGGACTACAGGGGTAATATTTGATAACAGAGGACTAAATATGGAAACCCCTCTATTATAAAGGACTAATTATGGAATTTACTCTTTGGTCATTATACAAAAAGTATGGACCCGAAATGCCATGCACGCGAGGGGTTACAAATAAATTGCATAGATGCCATGCAGGTACACTCGGAGTAGTTGTAGAATGCATCTTTTGTGTCCGTACGTGTGATATGGGGAAAATTGAGCTGACATTAATTAATGTGACCACGTGAAACAAAGGGTGCTCTTTACGGTGACGCGTGACGTATCCCTAAAGTGCATATTGTGAGAGAATAAAGAATAAATTTTCAAAATGGTCCTTCTGTTTTATCAATTCAGTCCTCAATAAATTTTAACTACCTATATGGTTTTCTATAAATGAGATTTAATTTCAAGATAGTCCTTCGTAAATAATGTTACTCAAATGATGATTAATTGAGAGATATTTTAGTATTTTGATCATCCAAATTTAAAGTATATTCTCGAAACAGTCATTTCTGTACAACTAAATATAAAATTGAAAAAATACATTGACTATAAATAATTCACGAATTATTTAAAACTTATAAAAAATCTTTTGAATTTCACATCAGATACACATCTTTAATTAGAAAAAACCATTTTAGGAAAGTACGTCATTATAAATGATCATTTTAAGAGTTAATTCTAAATTTCGCGAATAAAAAATACCAAAATATCCTCAATTAATCCTCATTTGAGTAATATTATTTAAGAAGGATCATCTTGGGAATAAACCTCAATTATAGAGGATCACGTTGGTAATTAAAACTTATTGAGTTATGATTTGGGAAAACACCTTATTACAAAGGCTTATTTTGGGAATTTACTCAAGAATAAAGCTAGAACAACACAAACAACATACAGAGTATATAATACTTCCTCCGTCCCAGAAAACCTTTCTCCTTTCTTTTTTCATCTGTCCCAAAAAACACTTCTCATTTCTATTAAAAAGTCACTTTTATCCCTTACTTTTGCATACCCTACCTATCACATCACACCTCTTTACTACTCCCTCCGTACGTCCCAGAAAGAATGTCACGGTTACTGTTTTGGCCTCTCAATAACTTTTGTTTATTTACTCGTTTTGATTGACCATTTGATAAAATAAAACATTTTTATCGCATCTTGTTTTGTAGAACTTTTCATATACTTTTGAATGGTTTAACTTTTACTTTTCATTACTCTACCAATTTGAAAATATAATAATTTTAAAAGAGATGATATTTTGCACGTCGTTCGAAATGTTGCAAATCATTTGGGACGGAGGGAGTAATAATCTACCCATCAAATCTTACTTTTACCCATCACAGCAAAGGACATTTTTGGAAATTCAATACTAAAATACATTCCCCTTAAATCCCTCTTCAAAATCAAAACTCCAATGTTTTCCGAGATGGAAGGAGTATATATTATGTATGTGTGATTTACAGATAAGATTTTAGGCTTACATCAAATGTGTACTCAAGTATACACCAAGCATCTTGTAATCACACATTTTTTGATTTTGTAATCACCAATTGTGTACCCCAAATGGTATGGGAGCACATGATGTATATATGAGGTACGTATGGTGTACCTCTAATATTTTTCTTTATAGATACATAATGACCTTGTTTGGAAAATAGTATTTTGGATGGCTTTTGACATTTTCAACTGACTTTAGCTTTTTGATTAATCAACTAGCCAAAACTATTGTTTGGACTTTTAAGATCACATTCTCACCAGAACACACACACACACACACACACACACACATATATATATATGTATATATATATATATATATATATGTGTGTGTATATATATATGTGTGTGTGTGTGTCTATATATATATATATATATATATATATATATATATATATATATATATATATATATATATATGGATATTTTATTAAAATAAAGAAGATAGAGATACAAATAAGTGCGTGTGGGGTAAAACCCAGCCCAAAATACATCAATGCAGAACAAAATGAGGCAATTAGAATAATAATCTTCGACGAGTCCATGGCTGAAAGCCTATATTCCTCATTTCTTCATCCATAATCATCCATTTCTTTCCATGATGAGCCCAGCACCATTGTTGAATCATTGTCATAATATTATATATGATCCTGCTTTCCTTAAAAGCCGCTCCTTCATATTTCTCTGCATTATATGCCTTCCACAGACCCCATGCAATGAACCCTGGGAGGTTGGCCGTGAGCTTCTCCCGCATGGAGTTACGACAGGTGACCAGCCACCAGTTCATACAAGCTTCCTGTAATGTGGAGTTTCTGTGGATGATAGGGCCCTGGAAGAGTGTGGAGAAGAATTTCCATATTTTCAGTGAATATTGACATTGGTAGAGAGTGTGGTTTGAGTCTTCAGTGCCTTGCTTGCAGAAGTTGCACCTTGATGGTAATGCCATGTTGAATCTAGACAAATTATTTGGGAAAGGAAGAAGATTGTTGAAGGTTTTCCAAAGGAAGAGTTTGATCTTAGGTATTTGGGTTTTATCCCAAATCATCTTGCAAGAGATTGAGAGAGGCTTAGAGTCTCTCCAGGCATTGTATGCTGCTTTGGTAGAGAAATCCTCTCCTTCCCATGTATCTGCACCCTCAGAGTTATCAACATGTTGCAATGCCCAGTTGTGAATTCTAGAAACTCTCTTCCAAGTAATTGAGTCCGTTGGTCTTTCACAAAAGGTTTGTGTACAGTACTTGTGCCTCATGTACTCTCCCCATAAACCTCCATTATTACGAAGCTTCCACCAAAGTTTTGAGGAGTATGCTGCCTCTATATCCTCGAGGTGCCTAATTCCAACCCCTCCTTCAATGGTGGGGTAGCACATACTTTTCTAGTTTTTCTAGTGATATTTGGGTTTCCCGTCCCTGTAGCCCCAAAAGAAGTTCTGCATTTTCTTATTTAGGATGTCCATGACAGATTTGGGCATTTGTTGGATCGCCAGGATGTGAAGAGGAATTGAGGGTTCATAAAAGGTTTGTGTTGTTTGGGCAGAGGCTTCGGCATCATTAAGTTTTTGGAAAATATTCCCAAATACCTCTCCATTCCATTTGATAAGGATTGGCTTCAAAGCCTTCAATTTATTTGCTAAACCTTGCATTCCATTAAAGGTTTTGTTGCTTTCCCAGAAATTCCTTATTGTAGCCTCTAGAGAGTGATGAGAAGTCCACATGTTAAGGAACTTGAAAGGTTTGTGTCCAGAAAAGGAGCTAAGGGAGTACTTCAGCAGTAAGGGTCTGTGGTCCGAGCTACCTTTGCTAAGCATTTCTAATGAGAGAGTGGGAAACTGATCAAGCACTGGTTGAGTACAGAAGATATGGTCCAGCCTTCTCCAGACCTTTCCACTACTCCGAGAACCACTCCATGAGAAATGTCCTCCAGAAGGGGGGAGATAAAGGAGATTGTTGGCTTCCATGCAATTCCTGAAATCTTCTATGGAGTTGTGGCAAGGTTCGGTGTTCCCTTTGTGTTCATCAATATTGTGGATGCAATTAAAGTCCCCACCCAATATCCACGGCTGTGTTCCAGGGTTACATTTCGAGATAGATTCCCAAAGAGTCTTTCTGGAGGACCTACTATGTTTCCCGTAAATAGAGGAGATCCAGATAGGACTAGGAGAAGTGGGAGAGTTGAAATGGCAGTGAACAACCTGTTCCAGTTCCACAGTTTGCAGGAGAGTGAGGGTGGGTTCCATCCAGAAAATCCAGAGTTGGTTATGAAGGAAGGAGGCAGCATGGGTCATACCCAATTTGAGTTTGAAGGAATTCATTTCTGTACATGCAACAAGAGGTTCCATAATAGCAATAAAGGAGCATTTGTGAGGGGAAGTGATGGAATTAATCTTGTGGGCAGACTTCCTCATCCCACGTATGTTCCAAAAGAGGAGATACATTAAGAAGGGTATGATTGAGCTTTAGCGTGACTCTTAAGAGTCATGTGCATTGGGGGCATAGGTTTCTTAGTGCCTCTACCCTTCATAAAAGAAAGCGTGTGCCTCTTGATAGCAGATAATTTACCCTCCAAGGAAGAAATGGGGCTCTTGAAAATGATTCTTTCACCTTCACCATCGGAATGTATGCACACAGGGGTGCAAGGGGTTTCAGGATCAGCATATGTGGAAAGGAGACCAAGAGAGTCCAGAGTGGATGTATGTTCCAGTGCTGTTTGCTTCACGAGGAGGGAAGAGGGGTTCCCTGGAGAGATCGAGCCAAGGGTTTGAAGAGGTATTTTGTCATTAAAAATTCCTACTTTACATGTGCTTGGGCCTGCCTCCAAAGAAGTAACAGCCTTAGGGATAACTGAAGGTTGGAAAATGGAGCTTGGGCCAGCTCCAACCATAGTGTCAGCAGAATTCTTGTCTTCAAGTGCCTGGAATTTATTGGATGTTTGCAAGCGGGTTGGCTCCCTCTTCCTTGTATTTACGTGCAAGGGTTTTTTCCCTTTACGCTCCACCCTAATCCACTCAAAGGACCCACGATTAGTGGTCCTGTCTCCCGTCTGAAGTTCACCACCGGTCAAGACTCTTCCGGCGGTTGACGGGGAGGTGCAACAATGTCCCCAACGTTTACAGGATTTGCAATAAAGAGGTTGATCGTAAACCACAGTGATGTTTCTAACCCAGTAGTTAGAAGTAACCTTGATGGAAGAGAGTTTAGGTTTGGATACGTCCATTTCCACAAGAACTCTGGCCGTTTAATAATAGCCTCCCCTTGCTGTGGTTTCATCAAGCTTGATTGGTTTCCCAAGGACCTTAACAACAGAAAAGAGATTTCTTTTGTCAAGAAGGAAAAAAGGAAGGTGTTTGAGAGTTACCCAGATGAGAGCTAGGGGGCTATCATGTTTATCTTCTGTACTAGGATCCCATTTGCAGATTGAAAGCTGATTCCCGTTTACTGACCATGACCTTCTAGACAGTATGCGAAGATAATCTCCTTGTTGATTGAAGACAATGATCACCTGATATCTAGTGATTCCTGAGATTCGAAATCCTCCCTTGAATCCACCTTTTTCCAGGCTCTTTCCTATCTCCTCCGGCGTGGTATCCCGCTTGTATCTAGCTTTGACAGCAAAAGGGAATCTCTCCCTAATATGTTCCAAATCCTCGTCACTAAAGAAAACAGCGGGTTTTCCTGAGGGAGAAGGTTTGATGCTGCCAATAGTTTTACATCCTTCTTCCTTGAAAAGTTCCGAGAAAAGTTTACTCGGCCCTATTTTCTGGCCGGAAAACCCAGAGGATTCCGGCAGCTTTCTCTCACTACCCATTTTTCATATATATATATATATATATATATATATATATATATATATATATATATGCAAAGAAATCCGGTTTTATTAATGAAAACGGAACGAGGGGATACAATCGTGGTATAAAATATTTTTAACAACATCAGGGAAAAGGTTGATATGCCAGTATTCCTTGAGAGGGGAGTCTAATGTCCTGTCCACCTTTGCGAGACCATCTGCAGCAGAGTTCCCTTCCCGTAAAATGTGAGAAACCTGAATCCCATTTTGAAGAATGAGTTGACCCAAAACGTCAATTGGGAAAGAGGAGACTGAATTTTTATTGAACAATGGAATCCTGGAAATAATGGACTTAGCATCAGTCTCATAAATCAAAGAATTGGAAATTAAAAGGGCCCATATGATTGCTTTAATAGCGGCATCCACTTCAGCTTGGTAGGCACTCCTAGAGTGTAGTTTGAAGGAAGCCCCACGGACCAGTCTTCCTTCTGCATCTCTTAAAATAGCTGCACCTCTTTGATGTGTTGTGGTATAGGAGGCATCAACATTGAGTTTAAGCCTACCCGTAGGAGGTGCCTTCCATTTAACCATGCGAACGTAGTTGTGAGATGTGAACCTGGGTATAAGATTATGTGAGAATAACCAGGAGTCAAAATGTTGAAGTTTGCGGGGAGTCTTGGTGGACAACCATTGTTTGGTATACGAATCAATCTGATGAATAAGACTTAGAGTGCTAAAATTGGAACATTTCCCATAAATGATCTCATTCATCTTTTTACAGATGTGCCACGTGATTATCCCTGGCAGATGTTTACGCAGTAGCCCGTAAAGGTTAGGTGTGTCCCTCAACCACCAGTTCATGAAGTGTTGGTTGATAGTAGAAGATTCTGTGTGGAGGAAGTTTAGACATCTAGCATAATGTCTCCAAATATCCACGATCTTAGCACAATCAATCAGGGAATGTTTTGTTGTGAGGCTTGAATTCATGCAGAAAGGACAAACAGAAGGGAGAGCAAAACCAAGCCTTCGAAGGTTTTCAGGGATTGGAAGGCACTTGCGTAAAAGTTTCCACATAAAGATGCTGATCTTGGACTTCTGTGGGGATTCCCAAATATTATGAAACGCAAGAGAAGGGCTAGAATTAGTCCTGCAAACCTCATAAGCACTCTTAAGGGTGAACTGCCCAGATGGGTCCTCATTCCAAATAAATGCTTCCTCCTCGGTAGTATGGCAGTGATTGAGAGCTTTGACATTAATCCTTGTGATCCTTGTCCAGGTAGGGGAGTCCACCAAGTGACATTCCATCTCTCCTCGCCTATGATATTTGGCCCTCATGAATCTCCCCCAGAGGCTGTTATTATGTTGATATTTCCACCATAATTTGAGACTAAAGGCCTCCTCCAAGGATTGGAAGTCTCTAGTGCCAATACCACCTTCCTCTTTTGGTAAAGAAAGAGAATCCCACTTCAGCCAATGATGCTTCTTCTGGCCACAACCCCACCAGAACCCTGCCATCTTTTGATGAAGAAGGTTGATGATGGATCTAGGAACAGTGTTTGCAGCCAAAAAGTAGTTAGGAATGGTATTGAGGACATGATTAATAAGGATTAATCTTCCTGCCTGATCCAAGTTTTTTTGATACCATCCATTGAGTTTCTTGTCAAAGGAAGAAATGAGAGATGTACAATGGTGTTTCCTTGTGATGCCAGAGTGGATAGGGCTACCCAGGTAGGTAAAAGGGAGCTTTCTGTGTGGCATGGTCAGGAGTTGTTCCAGCTTCCTAATTCTCATAGTATTAAACTTCTTCCCAACCATGAAGCTGCTCTTAGAGGAGTTAATAGTCTGACCAGAGACCTGTTGATATTTAGCCAAGAATGTCTTCAAATTGGAAATAGATCTGAGATGAGCATTGGTGAAGATAATGAGGTCATCGGCATAAGCCAAGTGGGTGACATGAATGCTGTTTCTGCCACAGTTGAATTTACCCAAAGAACCAGTGTGGAACAATTTATTAATGTTCCTAGAGAAACCTTCATTAGCAATAATGAAGAGGAGGGGGGATAAAGGATCACCTTGTTTGATTCCTCTCGATTGGCCAAAGAAACCACAAGGTTTCCCATTGAAAAGAATGGAGTATTTGGAGGAATGAAGGAGGTTTTTGATCATAATTAAGAACTAGTGACAGAAGCCAAATCTATGGAGTATATCCAAGAGATAGGACCACTTTAACTTATCGAAGGCTTTGGCCATGTCAAGCTTGAGGATAATGTTGCCACCCCCAGCTTTTCTATCAATGTTATGGGCCATTTCTTTTGTAAGAAGAATCTGCTCCATGATATCCCTACCAGCCACAAATGCCCCTTGTTCTTCAGAGATGATCAAAGGAAGCACCTTTCTAAGTCTCTTGGCAATGCATTTTGTTGCAATTTTAGAGGCAACAGTTGATAAACATACAGGCCTAAAATCATTCAGTCTAGATGCATTATCACATTTGGGAATAAGGCAGATATTGGTGCTTGCAGCAGCCACGGGGAGTGGAATGCCCATGAAGACTTCTTGACAGGCAGAAATTACCTCTCTCTTAACTATATCCCAGCATTCCTTAAAGAAATTGACATTAAAACCATCTGGACCAGCACAAGAGTTAGACTCCATGTCAAAAAGGATGGCTTTGATCTCATCTTCAGATGGTAAATGCATCAGATCTTGATTATGATGATGATCTAAAAATTTAGGGATGTTTTCCAGGAAGCCATCATAATCTACTATCATAATCTACTATAGAGGGATCCGGTTCAGCAGAATTGAACAGGTTATGGTAGTAGGAAGTAACCATATCTTCTAAAATTGTTGGATCTTCTTGAAACTTCCCTTGCTCATCCTTTAAGGAGCTGATTTTTTGCTGCCTTCTTCTTTCCTTGACCAAATTATGAAAAAATCTGGTATTGGCATCACCTTCCTTAAGCTATTTGAGATTACATTTCTGTTTCCAGTAGCTATGTTCCAAGTTCCCCACCTGCAAAAGCTGAGCTTTTTTAAGATTAACTATCTCTTGATTGGTATCTGAAGGATCTTTCTCAAAGTTAATCTCAGCTGTAGAGGCCTCATCTTCAGCTTCTTCCACCAGGTCAAAAATGTTACCAAAGTGTTCCTTATTCCAGGAGACTATTTTGGATTTGAGGTGATTGAGTTTATGAAAAAGGCATCTCATTCCTCCATAGTATGGGATTTCTGCCCACCAATTTTTGCAGAGATTTTTGAAGTCTTTATTAAGGAGCCACATGTTTTGGAACCTGAAGGATTTCGAGGTTGTAATTGTGGACGATTTGGAGGAGATTATGAGAGGAGAATGATCACTGCCTTGTTTTGAAAGATGTTTCATTGAGATGTCTGACCAATGATTGCTCCATCTTTCATTGAAAAAAACCCGGTCCAATCTCCTCCACACTTTGCCATTACTTCTAGTACCATGCCAGGTAAAAATTGGTCCAGTGAATTTGCTTTCCAGCAGATTACAATCTTTAATGCATGAGTTAAAATCTTCCACCCCTTCTAACTCAGGCAGCCTTTTCCCTTGGTGATGAAGGATATCTGAAATGGCATTGAAGTCTCCCCCTAATAACCAAGGGAGAGCAATGGAGTTATTAAAGGATCTGATATCTTCCCAAAGGTTTTTCCTACTTAGCACAGAGTGTCCCCCATACACTCCACTAACAACAAAGGTAGAATCATCTTGAATACCCTTCATGGTGAAATGAGAGATCTGATTTCTTTCTAGCAGATTCAAGAGAGAATAATCTTCTTTGTTCCAAAAAAACCAGATTTTGTTATTGCAAGTACTAAGAAAGCGAGTAAGACCCAAGGAGAAACCAATGTCTGGTCCTTTAGAAGAAGCCAACATGGGTTGTTCTTGTTTTTATTTCAGGTCTCTCACCACGAATAAGTTTTCCCTATCAGAGAACGTGGCAACTCTGTGTGGGGAATGTAAGGTTTTTTCCCTTAATTAGTAACTTCCCAATCCTTTTGGGGTAATGGTCTAAAGAACTTTAGACTGGAACATGCTTAGGAACTTTTTAATTTTACCCATGGTCTACCTCAAGAAGGAGCTGAGGAGGAGATTGTCTTGAGGGGGATGTCTTCTACTTCCTCTTGGGTGTGAACCCGAATAGGTCCTGGAGTAGGCAATTCTGACATTGGGCTCCCTTCTGCAAGAGGAGGTTCTGACACTGGGGTCCCTTCTGCATGAGGAGGTAAATCTGAATGAGCCAACCCAGAAGGGTCCAAGAAAAAAACATTGGTGGAAGGTAAAAACACTGGAGCCCTCCTTCTTGCACCCGTCTTGGAAGTTTCTACATGTTCTTCTCTTATAGTGGGTTTTGGGGCCCAAACATGAGGGACAGGTTTGGAAATATCCCCCTGTTTAGGAATAGCTGGAGCCTTGCCCTTCCGAGTGACTTTGGTCCATCCCTGCTGGACTTTGTCGTCGTTATTGTCCTGGACTTTATGGGCTGGAATATCCCTTTTCGCCGGTTGTGTGACCGGTTTACAGGTCAGATGGTTGTGACCCAGTTTCCGGCAAGAATTACAGAAAAGAGGGGGATCTTCATAGACAACCTGGAAGAAGAGATCAGCATCAGCATGTCTGACATGAATGCGTTGGTGGAGGTTCCTGGAAACATCAAGTTCCACACAAACCCTAGCAAACTTGGGTCTGGCGAAGTTGAGTGTAGCATTGTCAACCTTTAAAGGGGTCCCCAACATGGAGGCAATACTGAAAAGAGCAGTTTGTTCATGAAGGTGAATTGGAAGGTGAGGAATGGAAATCCAGACCGGAACAATGGGGGAGTCTTCTTCTTGTGTTAAGGTTGGAGACCATTTGGTTACAGACATGGTATCCTTACCAATGGTCCAAACCTTACGATAAAAGAATCTCTGGTAGTCTTCATCTTGCTCGAAATTGATGAGGAAGCTGTTGGAAAAGAGTTTGCCCACTGTGAACCCCCCCGGAAAAACCCAAACGAGTCAAGAAGTTCTTAACAACCAAAAGAGGGGGTCTTCTCCTGAACTTCCCGATCAAAGCATACCTGAAGCGAGTTGTTAGTCCGTCGACATCTGCTTGAGAGAAGGATATGGACGGGCAGCCCTTGAACATACTCTTATTAGCCTGAGAGCTGGTTTTAGGTGATTGTTTGAAAAGATCAGAGAAGAGCTTCGACCTCACCTGTTGTTCGCCGGAAACCGGCGGGTTATCGCCGTCTCTAGAGAGAGAGCATTTTTATCATATATATATATATATATATATATATATATATATATATATATATATATATTAAATCATATATTTTTTTAAATCATTGTTTGAAAATTGGTGGTTGTTGACTCGCTCAAATACTATGGGTGGGTACATCATAGTTATGAGTATTTAGAGTCTGCAATGTTGCTGTATGCATTCAAAATCGTAGCTAGACTTTGAATGCTCAGGTTCGATTTGAGAACTGCATGTTCATGACCCAATATCATGGAGTTCACATCAATCCAACGAGTTATGAGAATTCCTTTAAGAATATTTAAATTCATATTAGAAATTTCATTTTATACTTAAACAGAGCCATCTATGTTGTGGCTTGGACATATTTCCTGCAAACAGGTGAGTATTCCAATATGGTTATTCCAATGTGTTTGAGATTAAAACTCGATTAATGGTCTTGTTATATTAAAATGGTTATTTTTTGTGTATGGAGTCATTATTGAAATGTTATGGTAATGTGATTTCTGTGTGTTTTTGGTAAATGAAACCGATCCGAAACTTGAAACACGACATGTGCCCAAAGCATGGACATATCTATGCACTCTAAGTTACATTTCACTTTGCCAAAATTTTATTGGAATTTCATCGATATTAAACAATTGATATCTTAATAATGCATTTTCATCCATTAAAGAAGAAACTTCATGTCACTCATCATTCATGTTTAACAAAATTCAATACTTCATGACTCATAATGCTCAATGTTTAACAACTTTTAATAAAGCTCAACTCACAATCTAATCACAATGTTCGCGGAAGAGCACAATGGGAGAGAGGAAGTGTTACTAATTTTCATAATATTTGCAAAAAGGAACTAGAGGCTGGTAATAGAGTGATAGGTAGCTTGAAGAAGCTTGCATGGGCTAACATAGCCACTAAGTTAAAAAATGAGACATGACTAACCTACGACGGCTCGTAAATGAAACACAAATGGGATACATTAAAAAAGGATTGGAAAATTGGAAGCACCTGAAGAGACTAGCAACTGGATTAGGGTGGGACCCATGCAAAGGCACAATCGATGGCATAAGGTATGTTATACAAGCTCTACATTGATGTGATGTAATGAAAATATCTTATGGATATTCTTAAGCGTAAACTTTTCATAATAAAAAAGTTTTAATGGTAAATAATTTAAATTGTATTGAGCATATATTTATTTGAATTTGATTTTTGTTAAAGGTCAATGCCTAACATGGGCGTATGTAATCATTCTAATTTTTCAAACGTATTTTAATTATGTTGCTTTTTGTTTTTATGCTAATCCAGAAATGGCCAAGTTTTGAAGTAAATGCATTGATCCTGAGTTCAAAGACATTTTTAGATTATTATGTGATGGCACTGTTGCTAAAGGAGATGATAAGTGGTCCCCCTTGGCTGGTTGTCCTCAACGATGGTTCTTTGAAGCTTCATTAAATTTCCAGGTTCCGTTGGTAGATGTTAATATTCATACTACTCCTTCTAACGAAGGTATTGTTGATTTAGGCATCCCAGATCTAAATGATGACCAAGAAAATAAAGGAACTGGAGAGGGTGATACTGGTTTTGAAATCAATGATAACCCTTTAAAAAGACGAGCGAATATCTCATCGTCTGCGCAAAAGAGAACGTTGCGCAAGAAAAAATGGAAGGAGCTTCTATGTTGTCAATAAAAATAGATGAAATTAAGGAAGAATTTGACAAGCAAAGAGAAACAATTATGTCAAGAGTGAGCAGGTTGCTTCCTACTATTTCCGAAGCAGTTGACGTGCTAAAATCCATGGAGAATGACATTCCACCTTATAGCACTTTGCATCGATTTGCAACGAAGCTCTTCTTGAACAAGTAGAAACTTGAAATGTTTATGGCTCTAAACCAGTATGACTTTAGACTATGATATTTGAAAGTTGAAGAAAGTGAAGCAACAACGAATGAAGCTCAAACTTTTACTGGTTTATTAGGAAACAATCATTTCAATTTTTCTTCGTAGGTGTGTATGGTTTTTGTTTTCTATGTTGGAGAACTATAAAATTGTGACTTAATTTCTTTTCAACAGTCTTAATTGGCTAGACATCTCCTTTAAAATAAGATATTTGTTCTTTATATTTATCTTAAATTTCGAGTCTTTGAATAATGTTTCATTGATGTGACATATGTGTTTTTTACTATGGCTTGGTGTGTTTTGTTGTGCTTATGAAATTATATTTATATTTCTTGTTTATGGATATATCTAATGTTATGTATTAGCATTATATTTAAATATATGCAACATGTGAATTAACTGACTCAAGAGATATTTCTTGTGAAATAATGTGGCAGATCCATGATCAAACTATCACAGAAGATGGAGAAACAGAAGATTGCGATTTACAAGCCATTCTGAATGATGATATGAAATGGGCACATTCATGAACCTTATTGATGGAGCATGTTCAGGAGTACTATCGAAAATCTATTCTCAAAAGACCTTGTTTCACTTCAAAGCAAAGTGGTAAGTCATGGGTTAAAGAGCTCCTAGATGGTCATGATAGAAGATTTTATAATGCATTTAGAACGGAAAATGATATATTTCTAAGTTTACTTCATACTTTGGAAAGTAAGTATGAACTGTGCAACTCAATTTATATGTCAACACAGGAAGCACTTGCAATGTTCCTATACATTTGGGACATGGAGAGTAAAATAGAGAAATTCAAGAACGCTTTCAAAGGTCTGGTGAAATAATTTGCAGATTCTTTAATATGACATTAGAAAGTATTATAAGCATGGATTTCGATGTGATTAAACCATCTGATTTCCAATTTAGAGATATCGCAAAATAAATAAAAAAAGATCGCAAATTTATGTCGCATTTTAAGGTAAATACAAATATCAACGGCGCTTAAGCATTTTAAACCTTCCCTAAATCTATATAAATCCCCTCTAAGTCTCATTTTTCATACAACAAGATCTCATATCATTCTAAAGCCTATTTCTACTACTTTTGAGTGTTTTTAAGCTTTGTTCTTAATTTTTCATTACTCTTTTGAGTTTGAGCTTTCATTATTTTGATACACTCCCACACAAGGGTATTTGTGCTTCATTATTTTATATATGGCCCATAGGCTATTGTTGTTGTTGATTTCATATTTTGTTCTTCTCCTACCCAATTCAAATTGTTCATTATTTGGTAGAGAAGCAACACCATATTTCTCTTATTTTGTAAAAGGTGTGGATAGCCTTTAAATCCTCATTGTGTTTTTAGGTTGAAGATAGCCTTTAAATCATTGGTTGTAAGCGGTTGAGATAGCTGTTGCGAAATCTCGTTACTTATTGGCAATGCTTGTTTGCCAAACCTGGTTTTAATCTTCTCGGTGAAGCCAAGCAAGGAAGAGCCTCGAGGTACTCGAGTAGGGGGTTGCCAAACTAGTAGGGGTGTTCAATCGGATCGATCCGATCCGATCCGAAAATTTTGGATCACGTAAAACTCATTCCATATCCGATCCGAAAATATTTGGATATCCGAAATTCAGATATCCGATTTTTCGGATCGGATCACTGGATTATCCAAAAAGTTGAGTTTTTAGCCAAAATTTACAAAAAAAAAAAGTAAAATAGCAAAATCAACCCAAAATATCAAATTTAATATATATTTACTAAAAGAAAAATTCCACCACTAGGTAATGGCCTAATAAAAAATGATACCAAATTTAATTTGGGAGTAACTTTGGTAATTTTGCCTAAACAAACAAAAAAACACTATTAAAACAAAAGATTCTAAAATGCTAATGTAAAAAGTCCAAAATGGTTGAGTTCCAAAATCAACATAAAATTACATTTAAATATATAGTCATAATATATATCCATAAAATTCCAAAAACATATAGCAAAAAAAATCGAATATCCGATTATCCGAAAAATTCTAGAAATTGAATCCATATCCGATCCGATTTTTTTCGGGTATCCGATCCGAAATATCCGAAAGCTAAAATATCGGATCGGATATCCATTTTTCGGATCGGATCGGCCCGGATCGTGGACGGATATTTCGGATCGGATATTTTTGAACACCCCTACAAACTAGTATAAATTTGCTTTTGTCGCGCCCTTTGTTTTTCCTTATTTTCCTTGCTCTTTTTCGCTATCTTTTGTGTTTAAATTTTTATCTTTGCGAAAAATTTTTAAACACCCTAATTCACCCTCGTCTTAGGGCGTAGTCGAATATCAACCTTGTCACAGACAGACACAGACACCAATAAAAATTAAAAATAATTGTGATGGATCAGAGCAGAGTTTTAAAAACCAGATCGGACTGGCTGGTTAGGACTCGGAACCGGCGAACCGGATGCCAAACCGGTCCGGTCCACCCCCAAAGACTGGCATGTGCACCGAACCGGCTGGAACCAGCCGGTTTGATGGCTGACCAATTTTTTTTCGAACACACAACCTATTGCTCTCATGATGGGTTATCTACCATTCATGCTACAATCTCTTTTGTGAGTTCTCAGATTCGAAACTTGGGTCATGATTTTTGATCATTCAATGGAATGTTTTCTTAATTCTTTGTTAAAGATGTAATATATTCTTTTTTAGATACACTCTGTTTTTGGGACATTCATTGTTTATAAAGTAATGTTCATTTTTCTCCATATTTCTTCGTGTAGGTGTCGTTGGTTGCTTATAGAAAGTTCAGATCTAAGGACAAAATCATCAAAACATTAATTCTTAAAAATCATGTATCTTGCATTTTGAAGTCTCTATCGTGCATATGTTTGTCCTCATTCAGTCAAAAATTTAATCTTTCATATTGTATACGTAGCTACCATATCAGGTCGCCTCTTAAAAATCTTGTGATGTGTATGCCGTCACGATATTGCATTCTTGCATTTTGAAGTCTCTGTCTTGCATATATTTGTCCTCTTATTGCATTCAGTCAAAAAGCTAATCTTTCATATTGTGTGCACCATATCAGGTCGCCTTTTTAATGCACAGATTTATTAAAATCTATGCATATATGAGGTCTATGTTATGCATATAATGTGTGCATCACAATGGTCTTTATATTTTTTTTATCTTGATTTTTTTGGTTCTTTTTGTTTCCAGTTTCTATTAGCTCAAATCGTAGAGTGATATGTACTACGAATGTGTGTTAAAACTTGCATAGGCAAATCATTCCTCAAATGTATTTACATTTGATTAGAGTTTAATCAACAAATTGATTCTTACTGTTATGTTACTGTTGCATTCTAAAATCAAGATAATGCATTATCAAATAAGAGTGTTGAGTAAAAGAAAAATTAGAAGGGTATTTAAATTAATTATCGAATGTGTTCTTGCAAATAACAATGGCTATGTGCTAGTTGCAATGTCTTTGATTGGTGTGTGCTATGTTCCAATTGCATCAATTGTATGTTTTATATGTTAGAGTGTAAGTAAGATGTGAGCCTCTTTGAAAAAATAAAGTGTTGCCTATTAGCTCAAATGGTAGAGCGGTATGTAATACAAATGTGGGTTCGAATCCTGCATAGACAAATCATTTCTCAAATCTATTTTACACTTGCTTTGAATTGAACTATATCTCAATTACAAGTAGGGGTGTTGGTCTTGCTTATATGTATTTCAAAATAATGGTTTACTTGCTTATCTTTTGAATATGTAATTTAGCTTGTTTTGGTTATGCATAATAATTATTTGCATAATAATTATTTGCTGGTGTAGGTTGGGGACTATAGGTGTAGGAGTGGGATCCTTAATTCTTAATATGTTACATCCCACAAATTGGTATTTTGTTTCTCTTACTATGCATTCTTTGGAACAAGATAATGCATCCTCAAATGAAGGTAATGCATTTATACAATGAAGTATAGCACAAGAAAAACAATCAAGCGTCATAAATTGAAATCCACAAACTGATCAATAGCCCAAACACTTCTAAAATTAAAAAAAGCTTATCCCTATGCAGTGTGAGCACAATATGGCAAAAGAGATTGCATATGTGGAGCATCAAAATACATTCAGTCTCACAACATGAAATTAATGCATTCTCAAACTTTTCCATTGCATACAAGCTCTCTCAAGTGTCATAATTTACTAATCCACATATAATAGAATAAATTCAAAGAGCAAACAACAATGCATATTTTGACCATCACAGTGCATTCTCATTACGATTATAATTTTGGAAAGTAGATAGGATTTTAATCTTCCGCATAGTAAATTGAATTTGAAACAATAAAAAAATTTTCAAACTTTTTTTTAAAAATATTTAAGTAAATTGAATTTAGAAAATTTGTAATGGAAGATAACAAATCAAAATGAGATTAAATAGAAAAGTGGCTAGAACCATGAATATTTTTTAATGCTGGAACGTGGGTGATGTGGCTAAGAATGGTGGGTTTACAATTATGCCCTTACTCACTAAAATTTCTCCTAAATTAATGGAACATGAATTTTACTTACCATGTGATGAGCCTAAATTTTTCTTGTGCTCAACCGCACGATTGATCAAAATTTTTCTTATATATATATATATATTCACTGGTTCGACCACTTGAACCACCAGTCCGACCAGTGTTCTAGTGAACCAGTACCTTGATCGGTTCAGTCCCTGGTTCGGTTCTGAAAACTATGGATCAGAGTACTAGATAGTTTATTTATTGTCAAATAAAAAATAAATAAAAATACAAAAAAATAATGCAATCAAAATTGGTTCCATTCATTTGAGTCATTGGTGTTTTTAGAATCTTCAAACACTGATTTCACATATCAAAAAGAACTTGCGTCAACTCCGCTAATTTTTTGTCCAAAAAATGACTACTCCGGTAAAAATCAACAAATATCCCATATATGGAACATTATTCAGTAAATATACAAATGCATTAATGACCAAAAGAAGACATCCATGACAGGCCAAAAATAACTAAGGTATTGTTTGAAAATTAAGGTCTCATTTCAAATCTTGAATTTCAATTCCAAATTTTGAATTCTTAGATTTCAAATGACAATAAGAGAGAAGTATATAAATTTATATTTAAATTTATATACGTTAGAAGAATATTGCCCAAGTACAAATCCAAATTTATAGGATTCTCAAGCATGAAATTTGAGGTACATCTAAATTTGAAATCCAAATCCCAATTACCAAACAAGCCATAAGAGAATTGAATTGTCAATATATTTAATACTCCGTATCATATTCAAGAGGACATTGTCACAATTGCAATTACAGCGGTTGAAATTATGCTACACAATGTGGATGTCACACATGTATGCACTTAGTCCATGTTTTCTCCAACTTTTATTCTCCTTATTACTTGCGCTTATCATCAATTCAGATCAACAACTATGAATTACACTACAATCAAATCAAATCCACTAAATCAGCCTTAACAAATTCAGATCAGATTCAATAAGTTAAGACGTAGAGAACACAGCCTTAATTAGCGTTACGGACTACTTCAAGAGCCACCCACTCATTATCACTACATGGCAACATAGAAGCATTATTAGGGACAACTACTTGTGAGCCACGCGGGTAAACTAAGACCATGTTCCGCGTAGCTGGTGTGTTGAGACTTAAGTCCTCAGTAAGCCTAGTTAAATGCTGAAGTCTTGATGGAGTAGAGGATAAGTTATCAGGTAAGGCCTGGGCATCATAAGGCAAAACAGAAGCATTTGAATTGCACTGTGAAACCACAGGCTTATCAGTTTCCTTGCCACTGGACTCCACTGATGAACTCCTAATAAGATCAGACTGTAAAGCAGAAGTAGCAGAATGCTCGAACGGCGTTGGAACAAAACATATATTATCGAGTGATGGATGATTCATAGGTGTAAGCATGCCAGGTGTAGCTGATGCTTTCTGCATCTTTGAACTTACAAGATCTGTACCTATTAACATAAAGAGAGACTATGATTGGTTGGAAAATGCAGTATATGTGTGCCATGTGTAGTTGATGTTTTCTGCCCCTATGTACATCTATCTGACTCAATGGGTAAAAGGAATAATTATGAGTTCTTTGACTGACTACTGCAGTAGAATCCATGACAGAGTGACAGACTACTTTGAGTGCATTTCCTGATAAATAAACAAGATTCATATATTTGTATTTCTTTTCTTCTTTTTTCTTATTTTGCCTGTGAGTGTGTTGTGTCTTTGAGAGAAGAGAACCCCAGGGTAACTACTATGTGAACAAAAAGAAAAATGACTAGCAAATAATGGAGATGAGGCTTACAATTTATCAAAGTATTATAAGCAACCTCGGCAGCATTTGAGATAGCTTGTTTCTTGTTCTTAGCTGCTTGTCCTTCATATGTTTCTTGACCAACTTGCACAGTAGAAATAAAAGAAGCAGCATGAGGTGGACCACACTGGATTGTTCTATACACAGGATGAAGGAAGCCCAGTTTTTGTGCAAGTTGTTGCAAAAGAATCTTGTATAGACCCCCATCCTGAAATCCATTCGAGTAGCAGAGAACAATATTTTATCATTGATTAAATAAAGGAAACGTGAAACCAATAGGTAAAGCAGATTAACATAAACTGATAAATGTTTATGTAAATAAATTCAGGAGACTGGCCTTTTGAGTTTCATTGGGTGATAATGCCTCCAGAGCAACTTTCGCTGCTGCTTGTTCAGCTTCTTTCAATGTACGGAAGAATTGTGGACTTTCATAAACTTTTCCAGCCAAAGCAACTTTTGATTTAAAGCGGCGATAATGTGGTGGTCCTTCAGTTTCACAAGAATATTCAGGAAGTGCGATCCCCTGCTTCTGAGCATACTGTTGTAGCTGGTTCTTGTAAACATGTAGCACATCTAATATAAAAAAGAGAATCAGTGAGAGAAACGATGAAAAATTATTACTTTTAGTAGAAAATAACTAAAAGACTGTAAATCTGATTTTCAATATGTAAATCTTTTGATAGAAATATAACCAATCCAAGAAAAATAAAGATTTCCTCTGTTTTTTAATGCATAGTTTGGTAGCATTTGTGCTGAATACAAATGAATAAAGCCTGAGCCAAAACGAAGGAATCAAAAGAAAGCAGAGGAGAATAGCCAAATTGATATATCCCGGGATGCCCCTATCAAGCTTGGGCTCACGCCACAAGTTAAGCAAATCAATGGGTTAATGTCTAAGTGTTATGATACTTTTTGGGTTGAATTCATTACCTTTCCCATTCCAAAAGCCCAAACCATAACCCTCCTAATCCAAAACCCTCCCTAGGCCAAAATTCTTCAAGCCCAACTCACTCCCAAACATCCAAAAGTATTCCATCTTGTCTTGTTTTTCAAAATAAAGTCCTTCTCATTCATAAGAAGCTAAGGCCGAACATGTGTTAGGAACAAAGGCACACACACATGAATAGAAAGCAAGAAAGCAATAAAGAACACAAGAGATTTAATGTGGTTAGGTCTAATCTGACCTACATCCACGGGGGGAAACTAGGGATTGTATTATTGATTGATTAATGATTACAACTACAGGAGATCATATATATAGACAACTAATTAGGGTTTAACCCTTGCTGAACAAGTTATAGCAAACTGGGCTTAAAACCATTTGGGCTGGCCGAACACTAATCTGGTCTCCTCATTCTCAGTTCTCTACAAGTGGGCCACTTTGGGCCGATGACTACACATCACCAACAATCTCCCACTTGGAGTCTTTGGACCGACCTGCGGCTCTTCTCTGTACTTCTGTAAATAAAAAATCCTCCTTGATCTTCACATCTCCCTAGTTGCCCCTCTCTTCAACACTTTTCCAGAAGACCAGTTGAAGCTATGCAAAGCTTCACCTTATCCAACACCACTGACTTGGTGAACATATCTGCTGGATTCATAGCACCTGAGATGTTCTTCCACTTGATTGTTCCATTCATGATCAATCCTCTTACGAAGTGATACCTCATCCCGATGTGCTTCGTCTTGCCATGATAAACTGGATTTTAACAAGTTTCACCGCACTCTCATTGTCACAGGACAATAAGTAATCAGACTGCTGTTTGTTCAACTCTTTAAGAAAAGTCTTCAACCAGACTAGTTCTTTACTGGCCATTGCAACAGCCATATACTCGGCCTCTGCAACAGCCATATACTCGGCCTATGTCGTAGATAACGCCACACATTTCTGAAGTCTAGACATCCAGCTCACTGCTGTTCCTCCCACTGTAAAGACATACCCTGTAGTGCTCTTAAATGTCTCTCTACAACCACCCAAATTATAGCATCCTTCCCTCTCAAACATAAACCCATTTTCTGGGTTCCCTTCAAATATCTAAGTATCCATTTGACAGCTTCATAATGTTCTCTACCCGGATCTGACATAAATCGACTAAACAACGCCAACGGCATGAGCAATATCTGGTCTATGGTAGTCAAACTCTAGATTCTATGTAGGATCGATGGGCCTAATGAAGATCGTAACATCATAAGATCGTTACTCGAATCGTGTATATATATATATATATATATATATATATATATATATATGGGATTGACTCCAGTGAGATGACACCTTACGGTGAGATGACATGCTTCGGTCAGATGACACAAAGCTCACCACTGGTCACTGCAAAGCTCACCAAAGTGTAAGGGAAAGCTCACCACATTTTTTCAACACTTTGAATTTTTTTCCAAAAAAAAAAATCAAAGGAAGGGTGCTGACTGGACTTTGACTGTTGACCGCCAGCATTGACCGCCGCCTGCCACCGGCCGCCGCCGGTCGCCGTCGCCGATCTCCGGCAGCTGGCGCCGGTCGCCGTCGCCGATCTTCGGCAGCCGCCGCCGGTCGCCGTCGCCGATCTCCGGCAGCCGCCGCCGGTCGCCGCTCTCCGCCGCCGGTCGCCGGTCGCCGTCGCCGATCTCCGGCAGCCGCCGCCGCCGGACTCCGGCCGCCGCTGCTGCTCCGCCGCCGTTGACCGGTGGTTGACCGGAGTTGTTATTTTATTTTTAATTAATTTTTTAATTTTAAAATTAAAAAAAAGTGTGTTTTGGGGTTCAAAGTGGTGAGCTTTGCTTTATTTCCAGGTGAGCTTTGCAGTGTAGTGTGGTGAGCTTTGCGTCATCTGACCGAAGCATGTCATCTCACCGTAAGGTGTCATCTCACTGGAGTCAATCCCTATATATATATATATATATATATATATATATATATATATATATATATATATATATATATATACATACATACATACATATACACATATATATACACATATACATATATATATATATACATATATATATAGGGATTGACTTCAGTCAGATGACACCTTACGGTCACATGATGCAAAGTTCACCACTAGCCAATGCAAAGCTCACCAACGACAACTACAAAGCTCACCAAATTGTAAGGCAAAGCTCACCATATTTTTTCAACACTTTAAATTTTTTTTGAAAAAAATAAAATCAAAGGAAGGGGTGTTGACTAAATTTTGACTGTTGACCATCGCCTCCCGCCTCCCGCCGTCGGCCACCGCCGCTGCTCCGCCACCGGCAGCCGCGCCGCCTCCGCCGGAAGTTGCCGGTTGCCGGTTTCCGCCACTGCTCCGCCACCGCCGGTCCGCCACCGCGCCGCCGCTGGTCAGCAGCCGGCCGCCGCTGTTGACCAGTGGTTGACCGGTGTTGCTATTTTTTTAATTAATTTTTTAATTTTCAAAATTTCAAAAAAAAGTGAGTTTTGGTGTTCAAAGTGGTGAGCTTTACTTTATTTCCAGGTGAGCTCTGCATTGTCCATTAGTGAGTTTTGTAGTGTAGTGTGGTGAGCTTGACGTCATCTCACCGAAGCATGTCATCTCACCGTAAGGTGTCATCTGACTGGAGTCAATCCCATATATATACTCCCTCCGTCCAAAATTAAAGTTCCCACTTTCCTTTTCAGGATGTCCACAATTAAAGTTCCCATTTCTAATTTTGGAAACTTTTCTTTGTTAAAATGTCTTAAATACCCTCTACTTCATATTACTTTTTTATCTCCCTCCTCCCTTTCTTTCGGCAGCAACCCCCCTCCCCCCCCCTTTCTCTTTTTCCTCTTTTCTTCTTCCTTTCTTTTTCTTCTCTCCTTTTTTCTTTTCTTCAGGACCTTCTTCCTTCCCTTCTTTTTCTTCTCCAGATTGTTTCTTCTCTTCTCCTTCTCCTTCTTCTTCTCTATTTCTTATTCTTCTTCTTCTTTTCTTTTTCTTCCTCTTTATTTTCTTCTTCCCTCCCCCTTTTGATTTGTTCAACTGACCATGTTTCCTTTCTCTTTTTCTTCTCGTCTTCTTCTTTATTTTCTTCTCCCCCCTTCAGATTTGGTCACTAGATCATTCAAATCTCCATCGGATCTAAGAAATTCGCTTCAGATCTGGGTTCGATTCAGATCTGGGAAGGAGGTCAGCATCAACAAAGGTTCTTCTTCTTAAAGGTTGCTTGTGATTTTGTCGCCGGAGTTTTCTCTCGCTGCCTGCGATTTTGTAGAGCTGGAGTGCTCTGGTTGGTTCTTGTCCGAATTATGGGAGAGGGGGAATGGTTGGACAGCTTGGACTGCAATATGGGTGGGTAAGTGGGGGTAAGGTGGAGGGTACTTTGGGAAAGTCAAAGAAAATTTTAAGTTTTATTAAACTCCGTGCCAAGTCAAAGTGGGAACTTTAATCTTGGACGGAGGGAGTATATATATACCCATATATATATATATATATATATATATATATATATATATATATATATATATATATATATTTATATATATATATATATAATTTTTTTTTAAATAATGAACGGTCGGTTACAAGCAAGGGGCCCGAGGCCCGTTAACCTCGTGACTGCCCCGGGGCCCGTAAACACCCGAGGTAGATAGCCCACTATAGAAAGCCCAAAGTAAGCCCAATCTAAAGCCCAGCCCCATAAGCCCAAATCTACTTCCCACGGGTCACCCATCATTTCTGCTACTCCCATGCCAGCACGCTTAACTCTTTAAAATTCCTCCAAATTTGCATCTTCTGGGGATCGAACCCGAGTGGTGTGGTTCGCCAATCAACCCTGTGACCATCTCTACAAGGGGGAACCACTATATATATATATATATATATATATATATATATATATATATATATATATATATATATATATATATATATATATATATATCTGTGTGTGTGTGTGTGTTAATTAAATTTTAATAAAACATAACACAAGTTCAAGTTGAATATCAGACTTACCCATTTATAAACTATATTACCCTTTTACAGTATAACCCACCTCTTTATATACTCCCTCCGTCCACAAATAAACTTCTCATTCACTATCCACAGGGTCAAATTTTATTCACTTTGTTGGCCTATTTTCGTTACCCATTTGATAAAATAATATAGTCATGTCACATCTAGTTTTGTAAATCTTTTGATATAGTTTTTTAATATATAATTTTTATTTTGAAATTTGACACCATTTTTCATATAAAATGATTTTAAAATAATTTCAGTCAAAAATTGTAACGCCCAATGAGAAGTTTATTTGTAGACGGAGGGAGTATAATTAAAAAATCAGAAATATAACCAGGGCAAAAATTGAGACTGGGAGGAGACGCGCAAGCTAACCAGCTTTGCCGCGTTAGGAGGGAGAAGCTACAAAATACTCGATTTGGAAGTCTCGAAATCATCGCGATTCAAATTGGAAGTAGCGAAATAGTCGAAGCGACTAAATCGACAAAATCGAAGCAACAAAATAGGGCTTTTCAAATTTCCGATTCTTTTCTTTTTTAGATCGACGATCTCCTGCGATTGTGCAATTGCACGATCCAGATCGGCGATTCTTCCGATCCAAAGGATTTTTACGAT